AGAATTAATAAGGCTAAAAATATTATTTTGGCACTTGCTTCATGATCAGAAAATTAGAAAGCATAAAGTTTCAGTCTCCAAATCATGTAAACCAAGTAAAATGTTATTCTGGTACTTAATTGCCCCCAGGGAAAAGCAGAAACTCAGAAATATCTGAAGTTGTGAGCATTGCGGATGCTCATGACTAGAATGCTGGTCAGTCTATTTAAGCTATTTAGAGTCTATAGACTGGAGCTGAAACCTATTTAGGAGAAATCTTCCATCAAGTATTAATGGTGTATTTGCCATACCTGACGGGGGAAAATGTCTCACTAATCTACTTTCCTTTTTTTTTTGTTTGAGGCAGAGCCTCGCTCTGTCGCCCAGGCTGGAGTGCAGTAGCTTTATCTCAGCTCACTGCAAGCTCCGCATCTTGGGTTCAAGTGATTCTCCTGCCTCAGCCTCCCTCCCGAGTAGCTGGGACTACAGGCGCCCGCCACCATGCCCAGCTAATTTTTTGTATTTTTAGTAGAGATGGGGTTTTACCGTGTTAGCCAGGATGATCTTGATCTCCTGACCTCATGATCTGCCTGCCTTGGCCTAATCTACTTTCTTAAAGGGCTGCATTTATGAAACTTCTCCCTTTCACGGAAGCAAGGACATACCCATTTGTGGAAGCCTCTGTTAATTCAAAACCTCTTAACACTCTTGACCATGTTGAGCTCAACATTCCTGGCACCCAGGACAATGTCAATCCCATAGCCTTCACATTATCTTTGTGAGCAAGCGTGTTCATTTCTGAGATGGTGCTGTTCCTTCTTGCAGTGAAATTCCTTGGGTCATAAAAAAAATCTGCCTTCTAGACTTCTCCTCATCCAAACATTTGTTTCTGTTAAAGTCATTCAGTATATTCTAGAACTAAGGCTGCTATTGATGCTTTGGAAATGTTTGTTCCAGGGTCCTGGTGAGGATCACTTCTTCTTCCACGAGGTCCTCAAGACTTTGTATTTGTTCCTTTTAAATGATCCTGGTCTTGAGTAGAAGTTCTTTCTGCTACATCCTATTTTGCTGCAGTAAACTATGCCTTCAATGTTTCTTTTTCCTCTGTTCTGCTAAGTCTCACAGGAACACTTAACTGAGTTTCTACCTATTCAATCTGCTTCTTTGGCATCTTTCCTTCTCTAACAAATAGAGGTCTACTGTTTGCTGTAATTAAATGCCTTTCTTCTTTTCTTTCTCTGCTTTTTTGGTCAAGATATTTATTTGTCCAGTATTATACGCTTAATTTTATCTTATAGGATGTTTCCCACAATGCAATATGTAAAATTAATAATTTCTTGGTGTGCCAAAAGCCTCTCTCTCTCAAGCCTCTTCAATAAGTCTTGTCCATTTTCTTGAGTTGAAGCATCCAATCCAGGAGATAATTTTCTATCATACTACATCTAATGTAGGCTGGACTTAATAATCATTATTTTGCTTAGATTCCCTATGTGTGTTGTGGTAGAAAGAATCCTAAAATAGTTCCTAAGATATCCTACCCTAATCCCTGGGACTGTGAATAGGATAAGTTATCACACTGGGGATTACGCTACATATTATATGGCAAAAGGAATTCTGAAGATCTAATTAAAATTATTCATCCATTGACACTGAGTTAATCAAAAGGAAGATTGTGTTATCATGTAATTAATCTAATCACTTAACTGTAAAGCGTTATCTCTGGATGGTAGCCTTAAAATCATAAATCCAAAATTATATTAAATGTAAAAGCTGCTAGTTCACCTATAACATCTATGTCACCGTGAAATCGATCCAGAAGTTCTTTTGCATATGTTCTGATGATTTCTTTTGCCTATACAGACTTTCTGAATCACTCACACGTCTCTCCCAGTCTTCAGGGAATTCTTTATATGGTCACCTGTTAGTGAGTGCCAGCACCCTGGCACGTGAATTCCAGTCTAATTTCCAAGATCTTTCCTCTTTTCCTTTATTATATTTCATTGTACAACTGTCATTTTTTTCTGATCTAATAACAACCAAAATATCCTAAGGCCCTCTTTTAGAGCACTTATACCAACGTGCAGTTACTTCTAATTTTATATCTGCTTATCATAGCCTTTAACATCAAATTTCCCTTTTATATCTGCCTTATTATTTTTCTAAGATGTCAACATTTCTTCTAAGGTAATCTCTTTTTTTGTTCCTGCTCTAACGCTCTCTTCCCGTACTTAATTTCCATTTTTCTATTGCTGTTGTCCAGACAATAAGACTAATGCATACTAGTCAATATATTCTAGTTATTCCTTGATTGTCTCCATAATACCTTTGTGGTAAATATTTGAGGCACAGGTAGCCTTTTGAGTTACCTGATTAACCTCTGGATTTTCAATAAGTATCTCTAAGAAAATAGTTTATTCTTTTTTACAGTGAAGATCTCTCTTTATTTTGTTTGCTGATAAAATATACCACCATTCTGTGGACAAATACATTTTGTCTTGGGAAACTAAAGTCATGGTCAGAAGCTTCAAAATGAACAAACTCCATGCCAACTTGACACCATGCAGTGGTGTGCAACTATCAGGAACTGGCAGACAAGCTCATATTTGTAAGAAGTAGGACTTTCAGGTTCTTCCTTTGGTCTTTAGTGTAGCAAAGGGAATTTAGAGCCATAAGTTTAATGCTGCCTGCCTAGGCCTGACAATAACAATTTAAAGCAAGAACTTTACACATTAGGGCTCTGCAGTACAAGTGGAACATAGCTAGCTTTATAGTTTTGAAGTCCCATTTGCAGATCTGACTCTTGGCTGAGGATCTCAGGAAAAGCAGAAATTCTGTACCACCCATCATGACCAAAAGGTTCCAATCCATCATGACCAAAAGGTTCCAATCTCTGTCTCAACCTTGCCTGAAACACTAAGGTAAGCCACATCTGAATGCTTTAAGGCCCACCTACAACAGCCCAAAACGAAGATCTAAATGGCCATCATATTCTATGGTGTGTGCTTATTAAAATTCCACCTTGCTTGTATAATAAAACCTACTCATTTGTAGACCAGGCTCCAGAAGGACCAAGTACACAACTGTAAAACCAAAACCAGTCCTATGGTTCAACACAGGTCACTACAAACTAGTTAAGATCCCCCACGGATACCACAAGCCAAAGTTTTGGGTCCAACACCATGCTCCTGGTCAACAAATCCTCTGTCCTGTACCTTTTATTTTACCCTTAAATATTATTTCTTATCTGTGTTTAAGATTATTTGCTTTCACCAAATGACAGAATATTGGTAGTCAATAAACAATGTCTCACTGTTTTCTAATTATGGGGCCAACTGAGAACTGGATTCAAGATTGGAGAAATGAAAATGTCAGCTTCACTACGATAAAAGTTAATAGTTATTAATATGATTTCCATATAGAGCCAATGGTCTTACTAACACTCTGATTTAAACTTAACTCCAAATAGCTGTTTCCCTCTTTGGGCATATAAAGTCATCCCTCACTAAATTGGTGCATAATGGAGAAAATAGACTAAATGTTTCGTTTTTACAAACAGGAACATCCCAAAAAGAAGCACCAGAATGAACCGAGCAATTCACTAGTCAATTAAATTACTTTCTTCTCTGAAGTTGGAGGTAAACAAAGAGGCCAAGATGTTGCTGTAATGGGGGACCTTCTGCATAAAAACAGGAAGCCAACGAGGAAAGAGGCTTGCCACTGGACAGTTAGAATCTTGGCTCAATTTTGAGTATTGCTAAAGAAATTAAGTCAATCATATAGATGGAAACATGCTAATTAATTATTAAATGCTATTCTTAATATAAAATCAAAGATATAAGGAATTAAGAAATTATCCAGCTTAATCATTTATCCATTCATCTATTCATTCCTTTATTCTAGCAAAATTTATTGAAGGTAAACCATATATATGACATTGTTCAATCCCTTCTTTTGAAAATGAAGAAACCAAGGACTAGAGAGGTAAATCAGTTTGACCAATATCACACAACAAATCAGAAACAGAGCCTAGACTGAAACCCATTCTTCCAGGCATCCTGGAAGGAGTGGACATTAAAATATGTGCTGTGGGGCAGGTCACATTTGAAATGCTAAACTCAAATAACCTCCAAGAAGTTATTGACAATGACCATGACCTAAAAGGAAAAAAACAGAGTATCAAGAGAAAGTGTGGAAAATATATCATGTGAGAAGTGGAAGAAAGTACGCTGTGGTGGAAAAAATTCGTGCCCCAATATCAGATGACCTGTTTTCAAGATACAGATTCACTCACGTGGACTTGCCATAATTTTGGTCAGGTCCCCCCATCTTCCCAAGCTTCCATTTCCTCCTCTGTAAAATGAGGGTGATAATAAAGTCACTGCTGTTCTCACAGAATTGTAGTGAGAAGTATAGATGATGATGGGCCAGGATGATTTACGTAAAACTGATGTGAAGTTAGACATTTATTTTTATTATTGTTGTTGTTCTTGTTATTAATATTTTTAAAACAATAGAATTGAGAATGTTGAATCAAGAGACAGTAACAGCAAGTTGAGCCATGGATATTTGAGTTCCTGTCTCTCAAAACAAAGGGAAAAAAAGATGAATAAAACATGTTTGTTTGGCACTTTTCTAAATTATTATTACAAACTCACAACTAAATAGTGGTGTGATTATTGTGATCCTAACTATGAAGATGAGGAAAACGAGGCTTCAGAGAGGCTGTGAAATTTGCCCAAAGAAGCATTGTGAGGAAGTAGAGGAGACAAGGCTTAAATGGTCAGGAACTCCATCCTCTCTCCCTACACCACAGTGCCAATCAATATACATTAAAACAGCACAGCTGGGAGAGCAGATCAGAGAGGTGGAGAATGAGCTGGGATCAAACTTGAGTTTTCCTGGCTGGCTCAAAGCATAGCTACTTTCCATCATCAAGGCAAAGAGCAGTGTGAGAGGGGTATGAGCTCTAGAATAAAGCTCCTTGGGTTTGCATTTGGGTTCTGGCAATTACTTGCTATATGTTTTTTTTTTTTTTTCTTTTAACTCATCAGTATTTGTTACAACTTTAAGCAGAATGTGACTCGAGCACTACATTTCCATCCACAAGACCGAGTCTGAGTTATTTTCGAACAGTTTTATGATATGCTTAGGGAGGCTCATAACTTTGCTCCTCCAAACAATAGTTTTCTTTGGAAAACAAGCCCTGTGGAGAGTTCCTTCCATCAAGTTGCTTCAGTTTAACCTATTTCTAGATGACTAGTACATGCAGAATTGGCAACTACAGGGGATGAAAAGTTCAAAAAGTGGATCCTGCAAGATGTAACAAATACTTTTCTAAACATCAAGGTATAGCTCAGGAACACTTTGATAGCAAGATTTGGTCTACTTAGGAATCCGGCTTGATAGCTAAACACTTTAGACCACAAAGTTAACATCATGTTACATACATCTTACAACATACATTACCCCAATCTGTTAAAATAAAAACAATGTGAAACTAAAAAAGCATTATTAGCTCTGCTTTAGTATATAAGGTATCACAGCATCACTTAGAAGTAGACAGAAATCTTATCTTCCCCTTAAAGTAGTTGTTGTCATGCCATACAGACTTTTTAATATTAACAAAAATAAACAAAAACATCCTTGAAAATATATTATCAGAGGAATTGTAGAGTATTGAACAGGTAAGTCATCCCTCAGCCGGAGGTTAGTCTATTTCTTCCATGTGTGATGTGTCGTCATCTCCTTTGAGGGGCGGCATTTCTTCAGTTACAGCTGCACTGGTATCATCAGCAGTAGGGTCATCTTCAATACCCAGACCAAGTTTGATCATCCTATAGATCCTGTTAGCATGCGTCTGGGGATCTTCCAGATTGAAGCCAGAAGACAGGAGTGCAGTTTCATAAAGCAAGATGACCAGATCCTTCACAGACTTGTTCTCATCAGCCTCTGCCTTTTGCCTTAAGGTCTCAATAATGGAATGGTCAGGGTTTATCTCCAGGTGTTTCTTTGCTGCCATGCAACCCATTGTTGAGTTGTCTCTTAGGGCTTGAGCTTTCATGATTCTCTCCACGTTTGCTGTCCAGCCATAGTGCTTGTGACAATACAGCATGGGGATGTCACCAATCGGTTTGACACAACCACCTTTTCAACTTTTTTCTCCAATATGTCTTTCATGATTTTGCAGAGGTTCTCAAACTTTGTTTTTTTATCTTCCTGTTTCTTTTTCTCTTATTCATCCTCTGGAAGTTCCAAGCCCTCTTTGGTGACTGACACTAAAGTCTTCCCCTCAAATTCCTTCAACTGTTGGACACAGTACTCATCAATGGGCTAAATCATATAAATCACTTCTGAGCCATGTAGCCATGTTTCTGAAGACGTTCCACAAAGGCTGAGTTAGCTACCTGGTCCTTGGTCTCACCTGTTATGTAATAGATATGTTTCTGGTTTTCCTTCATTCTGGTACAGTAGTCCTTGAGAGAAACCATCTCATCACCAGAGGCAGATGTGTAGTACCTTAACAGCTCTGAAAGCTTCTTCTGATTTTGAGAGTCTTCGTGTATTCCAAGCTTCATATTTTTAGAGAACTGCTCATAGAACTTCTTGTAGTTCTCTTTATCTTCTGCCAGTTCAGTAAAGAGTTCCAAGCATTTTTTGACCAAATTCTTCCTGATAATTTCCAAATTTTGCTTTGTTGTAACATCTCATGGGAAATATTTAGAGGGAGATCCTCTGAGTCTACCACCCCTCTAATGAAGTTCAGATATTCAGTGATTAGCTCCTCATAGTTATCCATGGTGAAAACTCTGCATACATACCATTTAATGTTGTTCTTTTTCTTTCTGTTTTCAAACAGGTCAAAAGGAGCATGTCGTGGGACAAATAGAAGGGCTCTGAATTCCAATTGTCCTTCAACTGAAAAATGCTTCACTGCCAAGTGATCATCCCAGTCATTGGTCAAGCTCTTGTAGAATTCTCTGTACTCCTCATTAGTAATATCGTCAGGATTTCTGTTCCAGATGGACTTTGTTTTGTTGAGTTCTTCTTGATTGATGTACTTTTCCTTAATCTTCTTCTTCTTGTTGTCACTATCCTTCTTTTCTTCTCCTTCCTCATCAGAACCAACATCTTCAATTTCAGGTTTGTCTTCAGACTCTTTCTCTTCTTTTTCTTCTTCTTCTTCTTTGTCTTCCTTTTCTTCAGCCTCATCATCGTTGACTTCTTTATCATGTTCCTTCTCTACAAAAAGAGTAATGAAATATCCAATAAACTGAGAATGTTTCTTCACAATCTCCTTTATTCTTCGTTCCTCCAAGTACTCAGTTTGGTCTTCTTTCAGGTGTAGGATAACCTTTGTTCCACGACCCATAGGTTCACCTGTGTCTGTCCTCATTGTGAATGATCCCCCTGCTGAAGACTCCCAGGCGTACTGCTCATCATCATTATGTTTGGTGATCACAGTTGCTTTCTCAGCAACCAAATAAGCAGAATAAAAACCGACACTGAAATGACCAATCATAGAGACATCTGCACCAGCCTGCAAAGCTTCCATGAACGCTTTGGTCCCAGACTTGGCGATAATACCAAGGTTATTGATCAAGTCAGCCTTGGTCATTCCAATTCCAGTATCCACAATAGGGAGGGTTCGATCTTGTTTGTTTGGTATAAGGTTAATATGCAGCTCTTTCCCAGAGTCTAATTTACTGGGATCCGTCAAGCTTTCATACTGAATTTTGTCCAATGCATCTGATGAATTTGAAATGAGCTCACTCAGAAAGATCTCTTTGTTCGAGTAGAAAGTATTGATGATCAATGACATCAACTGGGCAATTCTGCCTGAAAGGTGAATATCTCAACCTCCTCCACCTCCATGGGTTGGTCTTGGGTCTAGGTTTCCTCAGGCATCTTGGCTAAGAGACCACACAGGCTCCACAGCACAGCAGCACCAGGATACTAAAGCAACTCTACTTGCTATATGGTTTTAGGCAAAATAATCTGTCTATGTCTCCCTTTTCTCAACTGAAAAATGGCAATGATAATAGATGATCTTTTCAGGCCATTATTATGTGAGAACATGTGAGATAATGCAAGTAGGATGCTTGCAATTGCATGATATAAATACAAGCATTATGCTGAACTCTACCAGAGGAAATAGAATGCACAGTCTTTTATTCTCTGGTCCAAGATTGGGAGAGAGACTGGGCCAGGTAACATTCAGGTTCCCTTCGAACTTTTAGACCCTAACTACACTTTTCTATCCCTCTACCCTATTTATTGCCAGCCAAAGGCCTCATGGAAGAGTCCTGTAGCCCAGCCAAGTACTTCACTCAACACTGATTTTGATCATAGCAAAAGGAATTTGGAAAATAACATCAAAGTGCTAGGTACAAAAATTGATTTTTAAAAATAGGTTCACTAAAGCCACTTCAGAGAATTTGCTGGCATAGTTCAGATATTTAGGGATTTTTCTGCCTCTTCTTTTAAACTGATCAAACATTTATCACAGTGTCCAAAAAGGCCTAGATTCCAGGAAGTCTGTACTGAGGCAAAAAAAAGGTTTCAACCAGACAGCATGCTGTCACATCTTGATGTCAAAGATCAAACTTCTCTCAGGGTGTGAGGAGGGGACAAGTCTTAACAGGCAGTTTTAACTGTAGGATGAGAATAAGAAAGGTGGCATTATTTTCCAAGTCCCATTGATATTGGGTGAAAATGACAGAAAAACCAAAGTGTTTCGCTATCCCCCACATAACTCAATGCTAACATGGCTCTAATTGAATTAAGGATAAGTTCCTGTTTAAGGTGATACACATTTTTGGTTTATTTTAGCTAATTTTTTAAAAATAAAATTAAAAATAATTTTAAACACAATGTTTAAAAATAGGTGGGGGTGGCCGCTCTTACAAAATATTGATGAGAATGTGAGATACATCCTTTTGGAAGGCAGTATGATAAAATACATGCATCCACTCCCACAATGTATTTTGACCCTAAAATCCCATTCCTACAGATGTTATTAAGCATGTAAGAAACATCAATATGTATGATCAATGCAGCTTTGTGTGTGACAGCCAAAAATCAATGGAAAAAGAAAGGTTCCAAACTATAAAAGCAATGAAATAAATTATGACATATCAATTAAATGGAATATTAGCTGGGTATTAGACTGCAGATTTAGGAAAAAAAATCATGACAGGAAATCATTATAATTAATTGTCAAGTAAAATGAGCAGGTTATTAGAGAATGTGAGCTGTATAAGTGTAATTGTATGTATTCATTTACATAGAAAAAATAAAACCTAGAAAGATGGATTACTAAAATGTACACAGTGGTTATTTGGAGATAGTGGGATTCGGATAATTTTTATGTTCTTTTTCATGCTTTCATGTATTATCCAAATTATTTCAAATAAATTTCACAATAAATATCAATTCACAATAAGAAATAAAATCAATAAACTATTTTAACAAAGGTTGATCTACTACTACTTTTTATAGGCAAAGAAGACAAATGGAGATTTGCAGAAGAAAATATCATATGAATTATCCTGGTAGTCTCCAGAGAATTAACTGAGTCATCCACATGATTTAGCCCCATCTCCATGCTTCATGTGATAGGAAACAGAATTTTGAAGTTGAGGTAATAATGAAAGGCCCAAATCACCTCTGCCACTTATTGACCATGTGATGTTAATTTTGCTGAGCTTTAATTTCCTCATTTATAAAATAAAGATCAATAGTTCAAAGCTTTATTGTGAGAACTCATTGAGAAGATAATTTTGAAAGCAATTGAACATGGCCTGTTCATAATTGGACTTTAATACATGCAAGATGCATTACTGTATCATTCACCTATTTAAAAACTGAGTTAAAAACATTAAATAAGGTCCAAAATGCAATTACGTTATGGAGGACACAGAAAGAGAGCACCCACTGAAGGTTGGCTCTCTCTTCCTCTCTTCTTTGGCTGTACCTGAACCTTATTCCCTTCTCAAGCTTCTGCTCTCGCTTTCCTTTCAGGACATAAGGCAGCATCACCAAACGGCTCTCCAGGAGAGCTGCTACCTCTGCCAAAGGCAAAAAGGATATAGGGAAGCTGCCACAGCATCTGTTGGCTCCAGGAAGACACCACCTTGTCTGTGGCCTAGGGATAGAAGGATGACATCTCACCTAGTTACTTTATACATGCCAGTTCGGCACTAGCAAAACCCAGAGGCCAACCCTCAGACTGGAGCCTGAAATGCTGCTACGTAAAACCTGCTGTTTCCATGACTGAGCTTGCCAGCTGCAACAACAACATCAGCAGAAAGATCGCTTCTGATCAACTTCTCCTTCCAAATCTCATGTGAGTGCAACTGCTGGCCGAAACGCAATGTAACCAGAACCCTACTTGTAAGGGAGTCTGGGAAATGTAATTTTTAGATTACTAGTTTTACCAAAATAAATGTTTATGGAAGGAGGTTGGAATGGAGGTTGAGTGCTGATCTGCCATATCCGCACTGCATCTCCTTTAGACTCTGACACAAGAGGTGGCCTTTCCCTGAACCCTATGCTTTAGAAGATCCTGAATACCACAGATGCAATAAGAGTAAATTTATAAAAACACATTTGTGCACCTATCTCTTGGGAACCTATATTCAACAATGGCACAGCACAACCCAGAAACGAAAGCGTCAGCTCACAGGCATTGTTCAAGCCTCAGAGAAGCATTTCTCAAGATCTCTTACCATATATTCTTGAAAGGAAAGATAGCCAAGTCCAAATTCCATGTAAGTTTGTGAATGCAGCCACTTCAGACTTTGGGGGTGGACACAACTTTGCACAAAAGACCTGAATAGTGAAAATATTTGGGAAAGGGAAAAGATACAATGATTACTTTGTGAAATTTTTCCTCTCATGAATAATTTTTTTGGCATTATTAAAGCACCAGATTTCCAGGAATCTCAAACATTCACTTTTCTTGAATCCTTTCATATTACAATTTGTGGTTTGGAAGGTACTCCACTATTCAGAATAATTGCATGTATCAACTGAGGAACATTTAAATATTAAACCATGCACTTCACTCTTAAGTATAACATGTGTTTAGTATTATCTCAATTCTTTACATTGGCAAGTTGGTGATCATTGAATGGAAGAAATTTGAGTATTTTATTTTTATAAATATATTTAATAAGATGTATATACATAAAATAATTATATTTGAATAATTTTACTTAAATTTTCATATTAATTCATTTTAATATTTCATATTTCTATTTTAATAAGCAATATTAAATATTGTATAAGCCAGGTATGGTGGCTTATGCCTGTAATCCCAGTACTTTGGGTGGCCAAGGTGGGAGAATGACTTTCAGCTCAAGAGCTTGAGACCACCTGAGCAACACAGTGAGATGCTCATCTCCATGAAAAACTAAAATATTGGCTGGGTGAGGCGGTGCATACATGTAGTCCCAGCTACTTGGGAGGCTGAGGTATGAGAATTGCTAGAGCCCAGGAGGTAGAGGCTACGTGAGCCGTAATCACACCTCTGCACCCCTAGCCTGTGCAACAGAATGCGATTCTGTCTCAAAAAGTAAAAATAAATACTTGGTAAGACAATTTTTGAAAATGAATGCAAAATAATTTTAATTTTGTTAATATTTACACTTTTAAAAATATAATTTACATTTTAGTTTGCATTTAGTTTAGCTTTTCTGAAAATATGTTTAAATTTTATATACTTCAGATAGAACTCTATTTTATATTTTAATTTTTTAGAATATCACTGCCAATAGAACACAAATAACAAACTTTTTATTACAAAAGCATCATGATTTTGCTGAAATAAAGTAAACAGAATACACAGACATGAACAATAATTCTGTTAAGTTGCTGATATATTTTGCTTACTTCCTTTCTTTGTTCTACTCCTATTCCTTGGGGTCACAGAAAAGACACCTATTCTTCATTGTACCTGACAAGCCCTCAAATACTTCAAGAAAGTAACTGTGAACCCCTGAACCTTCTCTTCCCCAGGTCTATTTCAGATTAAGCATATACTCTCCATCCATTGTCCATTCAGTCACGTCACTATTATTTCAAGTGAAAAGCCCTTTGAGAGTACCTACTGTGTGTTGGACGTCGTGTCTAAGCACTAAGCACACAGAAATTAAAATAGATAAAGACGTCAAGTTGCAACAAAGAAAACCTTAAGCAATCTCTTTTGATATTTGATATCTATTTGATAGTTATTCGTTTTAAATGCAGTACCAAGAAGTGAGCAGCCTATCTAGCCATAAGAATGCACCTATTTCCCTTTTTTTCATCCTTTTATTAAACAGCCATTAGCAACAACAATAAAATATTGCCTTCTCATGATGTGTCAGGAGACTTGGGGATTCTAAGATGGAAAAAACAGAATTGTTATCCTTAAGGAGTCCAAGAGCAAATGTCAGAGAGATAGACACAAATACAATGCGTTAACTTCTATGACAGAGGCCAGTATAGGATGCTATGGGAATTTTCTGCCAACTCAAAAACAATTTTATTTTACTCCATTTCATCTTCAAACTACAACCTATGTAGCCAGCTTGCTTATACTTATTGTCACCACTTCCTCACCTCACTGAAATTTTTAATTCACTGAAATCTAATGTCAAGCCCACTCCCCACTTAAACTGCCCTAAGCAAGTTCAGCAAAGATCTAGACCTAAAGTCAATACGCATTTTCATTCCTTACCTTACCTTATATGAAGTAAAAGTAACTTTTTCCTTTGGCTTCCACAACACACATTATTTCAGTGGTTTCTCCAAACCTCTGGCTAATCGTCTGTTTCTTTTATTATTTCCTGTTATTCTGCTCATCTTTTAAACCTCAGTCCTGTTAAAGTGAACTAAATATGGTCTGAGAAGGACTCCGTACTTCTATGTTTGAGTCCTTGTGGATGAACTGCAGCCTAGCTTAATAGGTAGACAAGA